TATATATATAATCATCGTCATTACCATCATCATAACTGCCACCACCATCACCAAAGTGGAACACCACACCAGGTGGCGTAGACACCCAGCTCCCGACTACCCCACGCGCTCCCAAAGTGAGCAAACCGTCCATGACGCTTATAGTGGCTGTGGTCACACGCGAGATCTGGTCGCTGTAGACTGCCTGTTGAGCAGGGGGCAATCATTCACATTTTGTTCTCCATTAGAGAAGCACATCCACAGGATAACGGCCATTCAGCGGTAAGGAAAAAAAACGAGAGCGATAGACGGAAACAAGAGTGCCTAAGCAACAAAGTTGGAGCTGACAGTGACCAGTACCAGTCGTGCAACCCAACCCATCCGGCCATTAGCCGTAGGGGTAGCACAGTCGCAATGAGACCAAGGAGGTTATACGTAAGGTCCTTGAACGAGGCGCATACACAGAAGAACTGTCCCACCAATACACACACGATTACATAAAATAGTGCTAACACGCATCTGTCTGTCTGTCTGTCTGTCTGTCTGTCTGTCTGTCTGTCTGTCTGTCTGTCTGTCTGTCTGTCTGTCTGTCTGTCTAGATTCCCTTCCAAAACATATTTCCCATAATTTTCTTCTTACTTCATTATCTTTCAGTTATCCTTCCATATTTCCTCCACCCACCCTTCCATTCTAAAAGCACTTATCAATACAGGCTACCCAGACCAACCCCCCCCCCGCCCCCGTTTGTTTGTTTATTTTGGGGGTGGGGGTGAGGGGAGGTTGTAATTGTAACAACCATCCACCGGGTCCCTTTACTACAATATTCTACACTACGTAACTAAGAAAAACGATTTTTTCTCAAGAGTTGGACTAGCTAGGAAACAACGTGACAGTAACACACACTGAAACAAGAGGAAGAGTGGAGAGTAGTGAGAAGACCGCACGTGCGATAAGCAAGAGATAAGATGCCAGGAGGAACGGGTGCAACACTTGTCGCATCCAACTCATTTGCCCCCCGACTATAATGGTCTGACATTTTTCACGACTTGTCTCGTTTTTTCCTGGGGGTGGGGGGGGGG